ATTTCTTTCGACTCAACTGTATGACTCGAGGCTGAAAATGCTCTTGCAGCATTGGTAGCATTTACCTCGTGTGTGCAGGTCAGGCTTTGTGTCTGTGATCAATGAGTGATGATTTGTGCGTGGCTGCTGAGGATCCCTGACTTCTCACGCTGCCCTGGAAAGGGGGGACAGGTCTGCATCCCCACAGATGTGTTCTGCCTGAACAATCCCTTCTGCTTTATTGGCTGCTCTGGGTTTATTTGAAAGCAGCTCAGCAATAGAGTATTACTGTATGGTAGCAATTTTTCCTTGGAGAAGAGGCCTCTGGAATCTAACGTTATACTTAATGGACTGCAATTATTTAATATTGTAGCATGAATGCAGCCTAACTCAGATGGGCTTTTCAACGGGGATCATAATGACTGTAATTGCAATGGGATGCCTTGCCGAAGGAGAAGCTGCCAGATGCAATGCCATTCTGATCTAAAAAGGTCACAGTAAAAGGGACATTTAAATTAAGTTATAAATTACAATTGAAGAACAATATTTTGATGAGCGAGACCAGAGATGTCAGAGCTGCAAGATGTAATTCATGGGTTCATTACTGAACAGAGGTGCCTGACAGCTGAGCCATGCCAAAAGGAGAATTTATTTGCAACATCACACAGACAGAAAATGGCAGCTGAGCTGAGAGGCGGCGGTGGAAACTTGAAGCCTTGTGGTAATGTGCAGCTCTGATGCTAATAAGGCTTCCCTGTGATCCAGAGTTGTTTAATGGCTGTTGGAATATAAATGGGCTTTCAGGATATGTGCATTTTCAGAATGTCTTTAATCTAAAATCTGGTCCAGCGATGCAGAAATGGCTTTATTTTGTGTTTTAAGGTGTGAGTGCGTTGGTGCTGATTCCTTTTGTTGCAGTTGTGTACATACATTACGGCACAGCGCTTCGAAATTCAGATGGCAGATTTTTAACACTGAAAACAGTAATTCTCGTGGTGACAGGATGGTAATCTTGTGTTTATAGCAATACTTGACAAGTTCAACCAGAAGTTAATTAAACCATAGGCAGTCATCATTAGCTGTTATTTATATGTTTGAGTTGCTTGCCAATAAAGCGCTTATATATATGAAATGACCAAAGGCAATCAGCAGAGAAGGATCTGTCAGCGAGGCTGAAAGGAGCAGATTTAACTCTGGCTCTTGCCCAGAAATGTAAGTCTCCTTTTGCTGCATTGTCCTGGTGCTTCCTAAAGCATTTTTCCCCTCTGTAAAAGTCACATTTTCAGGGAGGTGCTGCTGGCAGAGTGAAGATCCCCTCCTGGATACACAGAGGCTTTGGCATCGCTGTGTGTGTTTTGAGGGGGAGGGAACAGAAGCACTGTTATCAACACTGCTGAATTTCCAAGGTGAAAAATCTTTGAGGTGGTGGCGTGTGCTGGGAAAAAAGCATTTGCAAGGTGAGCTGGCAAAGCAAACAATCCCCCTGATGTTGGGATGGATGTGTTCCCAGTGCTGGAAAGAAGATGAGGAAAAAAATCAGTGCATGCTTTATAGAAAAGACTTATTTTTGTGTCTTCAGGTAGGTAGTGCATACCACAGGAGGCTAAAAAAAAAAAAAAAGGTTATAAAAGCTGTTTTAAATAGTGTTGTTGTTTGAATATTTGTGCTGTGTGTTGGCTGCCTGCTCTTATCACTGGGGCTTATGCAGGGGTACATCCCTGCTCCAATTGCATGGAGCCAGTGCTGGTAGGTTGTGTGTTGGGATGCTCTGTTGTACACTGGGAAATGTCACCTGTGGCAGTGGGTTTGGAGGCAGTGGGCTCCATTAAGGACTTTTAGGCAGTGGCTGGCGATGGGATGTGCTGCTGGTGGCCCTGGTGTGCCATGAAGTGACTTCTGGCAGCTCGTCCCTCCATGATGCTGCCTATGGTTGGATCTGCTGCACGGAGTACAAGTTGCACAGGTGCCAAATCAAATGCTTGAGTAAGTAGGAAATGATTCTGATCTAGTTTTCTTCCTTGTTCCCATTATATTACCAGGCACCAGTCTCAGTGCAGCACTGGTCTCAGCTCCAAATGTGAGCCTGACTTCAACTGGTAGTCAGAGAAGAATGTTCAGGCAACCAAATGCAGCTGTTTGTTCTAAGCCCACATTCCATATCGCTGTCAGAGGGCTTTGCCCAGCAGCGACCTTTCATTCTTAGAAGCACGTAACTTTCTTTAGAAGAAGTCCCTCAAGTATAAGCAAATTCTGAACGCCTCGGTGACCTGCTGGAGGTGAGAGCACCTTATCAGTTCAAGAGCTGTTCCTACTGTTACTGGAAGATGTGAGCCAGTCTGTGCAGAGTACAGCACACAGTGTATTAATTGATTCCTTGCTGCAGCTGACGAGGCGTCCATCCCACCACCAGGAGCTGTGCATGCAGGAGGATGCTTCTGCTTTTGCAGCTGACTGCTGTCCTGTGTGGCTTTGGGCCTCTTTCAGGTGTTCAGGAGGGGTTGTTTATTGAGTTGTTTTCTGGAAACTCAGCTTGCAGGTGTTACAAAGGAGCACAAAATTACTCGGAACTGAAATTTCACAGCAAATAGAATAAATGAGCTGTTATTTCCAATATAACATAGAGACTTCACAAGGAAAAGTAATTCCTAGTGTGCTCTGTACTGCAGATGGATGGGCTCTGCAGAATGGCACAGTCTGTTCTGTGGCACCCGTGGGCAGAACGCTGAGATGCTGACCAAGTAACAGGGACAATCGTGTGCCACAATGCCACCGCTTTGCAAAGCATTGCAACAGACTGCAGTGCCTGGTGTGAGATGGGCACTGCAGCCTGGGAAATTTCCTGCCCACTTATGGCTCTTTTTTTTTTTTTTTTTGCAATAAAATAGCGTTCAGCTTCTCAATAAAAAAGGGTGTTAACAGTTGTACCAGCTAATAAAAGCCTGCAGCGGTGTGAGTGGACGAGGCAGGGTGCAGAAGTGGGCACTGCACAGATGTGCTTTGTTCCCACAGCTGCAGAGCCATGCTCAGCTGCTGAGTTCTGCTCCGTGCCTCAGAACTGGGGGGTTCTGCTTAAGGAAGCATTTTGCATACGTCCATCATGCCCATATTTTGCTGTGTGTGTGTCCTCCCAGTGAACTAAGTTGCCATTTGGCTTCATTTCTTCTGCAGCTTTTGTATAGTGGCCTTCAGAGTCAGTGCTCACACCTTTCTCAGACATTATTTCCTGTGACAACTGTTCAAAACTGGTTTTCAGTGGAAATTAATTGTTGTTATTAGTCTGAATAAAATAAAAACCTCGTAGGGTCAGTGATTTGCTTTTCTCCCTCCTATCCATCCTGATTCACAAGTCTTTTCTTGATAGGAATCACCTAAATTTGATGGTAATTAGTTTGAATAATTTACTTATTGCAGCTTTCAGGAGCCTCTGACCCACACCACTGCAATTCAGTATGAAGATTTGGTGTGGAAGAGTTCTTGTGCCCCACGGAAGCTGAAACAAAGGGAAATAGGAGATCATGCTGGTATTGCTTGGAGGTGGCCCTGGGTGGGGGGGCTCCAAGTGCTGTCAGATGTTCACCATCACTATTTGTGAATTGGCTGAGGTACAGGAAGCTGAAGTGAGCAGCAGTAAGAAAGCAATCCCATGCTATTTCTAATTGAAGCAGAATTCAGGTCTAAGATTTGAGCCTTTCGGCGTGAGAAAAATGAGATTTTTTTTTTGGTGTAGCTGCATTAATAGTGACAAAGTAGTTAATAGCTCCTCACTGTTCAGTAATTATCTCTCCATCCCTGTTCAGTTCTCCAGTCTTGGGAAAAGTTCAGGAGCTGTGCTTGTTGAAATGTTTCCTGAGAGCAGTGGGCTGCAGGAATAGCAGCACGGATGCTTTTGAAGAGTGGGATGCAAAGGGCTGGGAATAAATTCTGGGCAAGAATAATAGCGGGAGGTAATCAATGTATGGAATCATATTTTGGTTACCCATATCGTGAATACATTTTTCAGGGTCTGTAAAAGTCTGTGGGTCAATAACTTTGATGTGCATCTTGGTTAGAAGAACTAGCTTGTCTTTATAGGGAAGTTTGCATGCAAATCATTCTTCCGGGTGGGGGGAGATAACTCGGTTTCTGTCATCCCAGCAATGTGTCTTTTTCTTTCAGATCACTTTCAGAAGACATAGAGCAGGCTCCTGACTTGTCCTCCGGGTTTCTTAAATCCCACTGCACTTGGAGGATAGGACAGGCAATAAATCAGGAGCCTGCGATGTGTTTTCTATCACAGGTTCAGAGCTGGAGATTCTCATGGTTCATTGCTGAATGTTTTTTCCCCCAGTGTGTGGTTGTTTTTTCTACTTCACCCTGATTTAAATGCCTGCTGTCTGCTTCAGACAGCGTTTGATCAAATAGATATCTACTTTATGGTGGAAAATAAGGGACGCTGTAGGCTGTGACCATCTGAAATGGTAATGTCAGCTTAGACATCCCTTGTTGCCTTTATGTACTCCTGTACTCATCTGTAGCAATCGTTTCTTTTCCATATATGTCTTTCAACCACACATTGGTCTTTGCAACGCGATACAAATCTGTCAGAAGAGCTTTCTGGATGGTAAACTTGACTTGTAATCCCTCCTGTGTGTTGGTCCTTCCAGTTGGCTACACTGATCTAAACAAAACGCTGCTGCATAAAAGGCAGCTTCTTTTGGGAAGCAACGTGGTGGAGCTTTCTAAGATTTCCTTGGGGTTTCTGATGTAAAAGATACGTTTTTAAAAGTCAACCAAAAATCTTCAGCGGCCTCAAATATCATCTGGGAGAACTCCAGGAAGGAAGAGGAAAACATACTTGTTTTAATGCTGTCTCTTCTGCTAATAAAATGCTAATTACCTTCAGGTTGTTTAAATTTCAGTTCATATATCAACAGTAGAAATAATGAGGTGCAGAACATCTCATGTGGCCCCTTTGAGTGTTTTTCTCCTATATCAGATCCCTGCTAATTCCACTGAATGTTCTGTTTGTCTTTATTTTTTAGCTACATGAAAGTAACTACGATGCTGGAAAAGCCCTGCAGCGCTTGGTGAAGAAGCCTGTGCCCAAACTGATTGAGAAGTGTTGGACTGAAGATGAAGTGGTAGGGAAATGAATTATATTCCCTTCAGCCTTATAGTTCGTGTTCCTTTTCTTCTTTCATTTTTTTTTAAGTTATTTTTATGGCAAATAAGGGAAATCATTTGTCACACAGGATAAAGTTTTGCACGAATCTGAGTTAGTGGATCCTCACTCAGTTTCCAGAGATTCATGAGGATCCTCCTTACACGAGGAGTAGGAGGGGAGAAGGTTGAGTGACTTTGTGAGGACCCTGTAGGGTAGGAGAACAGCTGGAAAACCTCTGGGCTCTCAGTTTAACTTCTGCTTTCACCTCCAGGCAGACTGGCCCGGTTCATTAATTGAAGTAGGACAGGAGGTGAAAAACAATTACCTATTGTCCCTGATTCAGACCTGCTGGTATTGGAGGAGGCTTACAGTGCCAGCACAGGCTGGCGAAAGGAAGGTTAGATAGCAGGGTCTCCCCTGCACAGAGGTTAAGTCCCTCCTTCCCCCTCATATGAGATATTAGAAATTGTTTACTGACGTAGTTCTTGATGAATGAGCCTTTGACAAAGGGCAGAACAAAAGAAGATAAGATGAAAGGTGGGATCACACCATCACTATTTACACTGAAGTATGTAGAAGCTGTCAGGCCCCAAAACTCTGCTGAAAATGGTGCAGCCATCTTCTCCAAAGACACATCTGAAATAATGTGATGGATTTGGGGAAAATATCCAGTGCAGTGTTACGTTCTCATGGTTGGGAGCTGAAATTGCTGGGGGATTTGCAGCCATCCAGTGCTGGTTCTTCTCTATAGCACTTGCAGGTAGCTGCATACCCTCTGGGATATTGGTTTGAGGTTATCTTTTTCTGGAATTTTGGGGGAGATGGTATCTGTGCAGGAATTAAGAAAGCAAAGGTGCTTCTCCTTGTGGTTGGTTTGTTCTGCAGTTTAATTGCTGCGGTTGTGAGTTTGCTGCTGGCTTAATTTTTATAGGTATGATATAATGCAACTGTGCTTATAAAAGTGTTTGGTAGGCTTGTAAACAACAATAAATCACGTGAAGTTGGGAGCAAGCAGTCGATTGTTAAGCTGCTGGCAGCTTGTAAGCAAACAGGTTCTTATTCCTGCGGGCTAAATAGCAATATTTGCTGCATCTCTTGCAAAAGCTGCATTTTCTGGCAGCGTTTGGAGTCCAGTTTGTCACACGTTTGGCTTAAGCTAGCACTCACATGCCTGATTGTGAGCAGAGAAATGCTTGTGCATTTGTTGCTGCCCATCAGTAGAAAAGTGCTGAACTGAAAAGTGAAGTTCACTTGGATCGCGGCCTAAAAATATTTTGCATGTTAATGCTGATGTTGAATGTGTTTAACACAGTGGGTTTGTGTGAGATGTAACCCGTAAGGAGATGTGCCTCCTTAGCACATTGCACACGGTGTGCAAAACCTGTGAAAACGGAGAAATGTTATTTTGTAGGTCAGTAATTAGGCTGTGGTGTGCAAAAGCAAGTCTCCCCTTAGACACGCTGTTCTGTAAGAGCTAGAGGAGGGTAGGCAGGGCTGCATAACCTTCTTGAAGCAGGCTTATTCTGAAATCCAACAAAGAGCCTTTGTGGTTAGGAGAGTGCCTGAAGTGGTGGAGTGGAAGAGGATCGTGTGCCAGCAGAGCAGCACAGCAAAGGAGAGGATGAGTAAAAAAAGCTGAGAACACAGCTTCCTAATAAGGCTGTCGGTCATCTTGTCACCACAGGGCATTTTGTTTGGGGCAGGACTGCTGGAACAAATACCTCAAGTGCTCTGCCCTGTGTTTGGTGTGTTTGTACTCACACTGCTCTTCCCCGTGTTCTCTGCACACATTCTTTCCGTAGAGCGGTTGAATTGTGCACTGCCAACTCCTCTTTTTCTGTGCAGAGTATTTTTCACTCTCCTTGTGTTTTCCATCAGCTGCACTATGCGGAGAATGTCAGAGCTGCTGCAGCTCAGGGGTTTTGATCAACGTTAAATGATGGGAATAAAACCTTACAAATAAGAAAAAGCGAAGTTTATTGAGAAGTGAAACATGACTCTGAAAGTGCAGACCCTGTGAGTACAGAATAATGATCATTAACTCTATAAATCATTGTCAGTCGCAGCTCATTTTATCATATTTGTTCCTGTTCTGTTCCTTCCAAGTTTCCAGAAACGTTTGGCAGCCCTCCAGCCTCAGCAGAGCCAAAGATCAAACTGTGCTCTTATTTATAGACGGCTAAGCTCCACCTGCAGAACTTCATAGCTTGTTTGTCCCTGGCAGTTGGTAGAAAACTCCAGATTAAAGCAGCTGTACTGCACTCCTGAGCCTTCCTGGGGTTTGCAAGGCAAGTTTCCTTGCTGCTGGCTCTGCAAACCTGAGGAAAGCTCTTCCTGTGTGACACGCAGAGTGCTACAGCTGCACGGTGACTCTACACCAGAATATTTTGCAGAAGCAAAGTGGAAGACCCAGATCCAAACCGTGTCTCTGTTTGCGTAGGGCTTAATCTTTTCCTGTGGCCCAATAGGGAACTGCCTAGTTAATTTCTATAACTTGTCTTCAGCAGGCAGAGACTGCACCAGTGCTGAGCTCTGACCGGTTAACATCCTTAACTGAGGCTGGGAAGGGAGCTGTGTGCTGTGTGACCTCCTCTGGTTATTCTCCTTCCCTCCCCAGACTCATTTAGTTGTGCACGTGATAGCCTGGCTTTGTCCAGCACAGCTCTCCATAGTACTTAATAGTATTTATGATATAACACCGTACCAACGGCTCACGTTTATTGTAGTCAGCTTTTAACTGTTTTTGTGGACCACGTGTTGCCTAAAGACTGAGCCTTTCTTGTTAATGAAGCTTACTTTGCTGCCTGTGACCAAAGTATTCTGTCAGAGCTGCCTCGCGGTGATCGGGACTGATTAAAATAAAGGATGGAAGTTATTTTTGCTACTGATGAAGTGGTTACAGATCTTTAGATCAAATTAAATAGAGGATAAAATTTACCAGTGATTGAATTAAATGGAAGGCTCGGTAAATATGAAGATGGAGGCTTGCTGTCTCCCTTGGGTTTCTAAACCTCTGGCTATTTTTATCCTTCCTCATTCCAGTATGTAAATTCAGGGGTGTGCTGTGAAAACCAGTCTTCCCTGCTGCCTCATCGAACCAGCTGAAGCAACTTCTGCTCTGATGCTGCCTGAGCAGCAGCTGCTTCCTGTTTGCAAAGCTGCTGCTCCACCATACAGCATCCATCCCAGCAGTGGCTGGGTGAGCAAGGTTTGGCTTCTGACATCAGTGCCCTGCAGAGCGGTGGTCAGACCTGGTGGTGCTGAGCTGCAAGCAGGAAGCAGTGCAGTACGAGGTAGGTGCAGTGCTTGGGCCTCTCATGCAGGAGAAATGAACTCTACCTGCATCTCGTTTGCACCTCTAAAAATGGCTCAGTGTGCATCTTTGATGGAATCCAGATGTTCTTGATACAAGCAGTCAGAAAATCCCTATTAGGAATGGCGTGGTGCAGGTCAATTCATCTTCTCCAGTTGGAAACGTTTCAAAAATTACATTGAAAATGTATTTTGAAACATTGAATTCGGAGCTTTTTGTCTCTGGGGAATGGCTACAGTGAGCCTGAAACTGTGAGCACCTCTATTTAAACTCTGGAGCTTGTCTCGAGGATGTGCTGCCTTGCTTTCCCAGATGCCAGGCCTGGAACCGCAGTCATTTGGTGCTTTCAGTTTAGGTGGGATTGAAACACCCGTGTTTTCTGAAGCGGTTTCAGTGGAAATATTTCACAAGAAAACATGTCCTAATGGGATTTCCACCCTCGTGAGGCTAGATGTGCTCTGAAAGCAGCTTTCATCATTTCGCTGCTGTTTGGTACAGTCCTGAGCCCACCCTTGCTCCAGGTCCGTAAGTGAGCTTTATGTGCCCAGTGCTTCTATTCCACAGATAACCTATCAACTGACTGTCCTTATAAAGAGCACAGTGTTCATCTTAAATTCTGTTAATTTAATGGTGTTCAGCTCTGCTGTGCCTTACATACTGGGGATGATGGCAGAAATAGCCCAGTTCTTTGTGCAGCTGTTCTGCTGATTCGCTCTCCTCTTTTTGTTTATATCCAGACTGTGCTTTTTTCTGTCTTTTTATCAAAAGTAGCACCCAAATCAATATGGCTTAGGGGAGAGAGAAATACAAATCAGAACTAAAAGAACCTCTAGTTTATTAGGTTTTTAATTAAACATGATGAACACATTTTAAATAACACAAAAGCCTCAGGCTGAGCTGCATCTAATCGAAACAGATTAAGTCACCCGTCCACACTTGGGTAGTTATTAATTCTGTTTATTTATGCATGCTTGCTGAAGGCAGAGTTCACTGCTGCTGCGTGTTGCAGTTATTGCGCGGGGAGGCTTTTGCTGCATGGAACAGTGCTCCTCATTAGCATGGAGATGATGATGATGAAGAACACTGATGAGGCCTTTACAACTCAGGATGGGGTTCCAAAGTTAAGGGAGTCCAGGGGAGGCGGCAGCTCTGCGCGCTATTGCTTGGATTCTTCCTCCCTTTTCTCCTCCCCTCTGTCCCATGCTAAATTCTCAAAATGCAAAGTGTTCCTTGGGAAGGAGGTTTTACTTGTGTGTCTCCATGCAGAACTGCCAATGACACGCTGTGACATCCTTGATAACTAGCTTTTATCATGAAATATGCTGCCCTTTAAATATTTTACGTTGCTTTTGATGTAGAGTAGTTGAGGTAAACAACCCAGATTCCAACAACCCCTTACATTTATGTGCAGGGATGGTTAATCCTTGCTGGCGATAAACCTTAATTGGCCATGTACATGGATTTACAAGTTCATAAATTTTAAAATATCCACACCTGGCTTCAGCTTAAAGCTCATTTGTCATAAAATACAAGTGGAGATCCTCCTGCCAAAAATGATGAGGTACGGCAAACTAATTCCCAAACGTGTGTGTGAGTGTTTGTAATCCAGTGGAGCTGGTCAAGACATTACTTATGCAAAACACACACATTTATTTGCCTGGCTT